ACAGATATTCTCATGTATAAGCAAGAATATTGTAATTTTCTTAGATTTTTAACTCGTAGTCATTTTATTTATTTTTTTTATGTAAATACGATCACCTGGTCATTTTAGACCCCAATTAAAAGCCGTTATTATTAATAAAATGTTGTATATTACCGATTGCTCTGATTTACTATTATTTGAGGATATTGTAGATATAGATTTATTCGCTACTTTTTGAAAAAAATGAGAAACAAAAAAAATATTTAAGAAATAGAATAAGCACATCAAGTGTCTTACTACGATAGTATTTCTAATGAGCGAAGATATTAATTTAAAAAAACGCATACACATAACTCATTTTATACTCATTCAAACTTATTATTATCTCATATTCACAATACGAAATCTTACCATACCTGCGAATTTTATAACGTCATCTAAGGTCGTTCTGTACCTCAACGAGTTTTTCCAGATTTATCCTGTGAATAAAACAGGTCACAGCGAATTCTTGTTGCACAAGTTACTTCTCTAAATGTTCAAATGCAAGGTAGATACGGGTTGCCGATCAGTAAAAAAACTCACCGCACGGTGAGCTTTATTTTCTGCCCGCAGTCTGAGACCCCAGGTGACCGTTCCCGGGTTAGTCTCGATTTGATTGAATTTGTATTGATTCAAGTATTACACTCAATTCAAGACTAAAAATCTCCTAAGAATATCGTAATATTCCTTATCGAGAATATCTATTGTTTTAAGAGTATTTTTTTCCGTGCACAAATATGCCGGAGGGAGCTCGCTTTAGCAAGGTACGCGCGCGGAAAAGTGGAAACTTTCTGAGATCATTATTCCCGCAACTCGGTCGGCCGGCCGGCCGGCATTATCGACGCGCGGCGATTAGTAATCGAACGTGACGTGTTCCACGCGAACGCAACATACGTCGTCGTGCCGGCTCGCTCGTATTTCGCCGGGGCGTTTCGCGCCTCGGTTATATATACGCGGACGGTTTGAAAATCATACGCACGATAACACCGAGGTATTTACGAGCGAGCCGAGGAGAGCACGAGCTCGCGAGCGGTCGGCAGGTGCTCTTGCTGGGCAAAAGGTGGTGTCTCGAGACAGCCTTGAGGGAGAGAAAGAGCGACGGAGACTGCGGCGGAGAGTGCATATGCACGGGTCGTTGCTTTCTGCATGCGATGAGAAACAAAATTAGTCGCACCTTCCTCTCGAGTGAATTCTGATTTCGCCGATAGCCCCGGCTCGCGGACAGGTAGAAGTGGCTATCTCTTTCTTCTTCTCTTCTCTCTCTCCCTAATACTTTCCTCTTTTCGTTCGTTATCGGATTACGCGATTGCATCGACGGACGCAGAGCAGAGGCTCGGCGTGCGTTTTATACGCGAACCATCCGCGCTTCGATACGTGGAAAACAATGATTCGTGGCTCGCTGGCTTCGTCCGCTCGTCCCGTCTCGTGTCTGTCCTCGAAAGTGGAGGACACGGGTCCGATCGTGTGGGCCCCGACTAAAAATCGAGCAATCGCGTCCGCGCTCGGTCGGAGAGAGGACGAAGGGTCGTCGGCAGAGAACAATGGATCACGTTTGCGCCTCGGTTCAAGGTCCGCGCGGGCGCGCGACTAGAGATCGGCTTTCGGAGAGACGGAATCCTCTTTTCACTCTTACTTAACGAAACCGCTAGTCGGGCAGGTGGCCCGGTCGTGATTTGCGAATTAAGGGGGTCCACACCAGGTATCGGGACGCAAGCAAGCGCCCGCCGGACCGACCTTGCGCGCCCGCACGGATTAGGTATGTCGAGTGTGTCGCGGCGAGTTGGTCACCCGATAAATTCCGATTAGGCGACAGTTAAGTCCCGTGTCTATCGACGGCGCCGCTCTTGCCCCCCGGCTTCCATGATCCGCGGGAGAAAGGGAGGGGGGAGGGAGTGAGAGAGAGGGGAATAATTACGATAATGAAAAGCATGTAATTATATTTTGTACTCGTGTATACGTACGTGGGGGTCGTGCGTACAGATATCGAGAGTTCAGAGACTCGTCTCGAAGAGTGCAACGATGCGCTTGAATCGCGGACGCATTGTGAGCAACGATGAAAATGTAGGTAACGAAGACTCGCCCGAGCGATATACGTATCGCGGAGGCAGCGGGCAGCCTGCATTGCCAAGTTTAGGGTCAACGACGAGCTCGCGGGGCAGATAATATCCGAAAGCCGCACTTCGCTAAGTAGAAACTAAATCGTAACATTGCTCGTGAACGCTCGGCGGCGCATCCCGCGTACAGCCGGTGGTCATCCGCTGCCGAGTTCAAGGACGATAATCGAGGACGATAACTTGGCGCGCCATCGGTCGTGAAGCTCCTCTCGCGCCTTGGCTGTTCTTGAAAAACTCAATTAGGCAAATCACGAGAGAGAAAGAAACAGAGAGAGAGGAGGAAGAGAAAGAACGAAATGACCGTCGGCTTTCTCTCGGGATGCGTTTAATTTTCGCGGCACGACGGACGCCGCCGTAACGCTGACTCGCGCGAACGATGCGATTTGCGATTTGGGTGACGCGTCGCTATTATTTCTCCGGGCTTAAGAACGTCCACCGGCGTGCATTATTTATTCGCCCGCTAAAATGGAGAGATAACAGCGCGGAAAGAGGAATGAGGGAAGAGAAAAGGAGAGAGAGATAGATGAATAGAGAGAGAGAGAGAGGTGTTGGTGCGCCTCTCGCGCGCATACACGCGAGGTTCGTTGACGGACGGCTACGGAGAAGAGAGGAGAGAGAAAGAGAGAGAGAGAGAAGAAAGAGCGTTATACGATTCACCTAGGTCGGTGCACTTTGACCCGTTCGACATTCGCCGGGAAAATCATATATCGTCGCAGGGACGTTTATTTCGCCGGGTGAGCTTACATTGGAACTTCGTGCATTTAAGAGAGACGCGACGTCGCGGATCGTGCTCTCCTGGCTACGATACTTCAAACTAATCTGCACCTATCGACTCCTCGAGAGTGCAAAGGGTGACGAGGCGAGGAGGGGGAGCGCGGATGAATCGATTCGCGATCCAACTTGATACGCGCGCGCGTATGCAATGCACATACGTGCCACATGCACACCTACGTACATACATACAATGTTGCAGGCGCGGCCCGGTGCGTTACATCGAGCTAGTTACTATCGCCGGGCGGAACCGGGGGGGGGGGGGAAGAGAGAGAGAGAGAGAGATTCACACCCGCATCGGAAGCAGCAGCAGCAGCGCGGCGAGATCGAAGCCGAAGACACACACACACGGGACCGTCGCCGGCCGCTTCTCGTCCCGGCCAACGCGAGTCCCGGGCCGTCGTCGGGTTCGTCGCTCTGGAAAATCGGTAGAGTACGAGCCGTGGCAGTAGCGCGGCGCGCGTTCGGACGGCCGGTGGTGGCGGTAGCGTTTCCATAGGGAGACTTCGCGAAGGCTCGGGCGCGAACGGATACACGGAGGGGGTTGCGTGGTGCAGATCGGGGACGGGAGTGCACACGTTCGTAGGAGTCGACGAGCGCGACGCGAGGTTACTTTCGTTCGTTCGTTTATTCGTTCGTTTGCTCGCTCGTTCGCTCGTTCGTTCGTTCATTCGTTCGTACTCGCTCGCTCGCGTTGAGCCGAGCGCAGTTGCGTTGCTTCGCGTTGCGGTGCCGCTTCGCCGGTAGGTGCGCTACGCCTATGCGCCGTTTGGCGCCGCTCTGGTGGGGAAGGGTGGTGTGTACCACGTGACGCCGGCAGCCAATCGGCCGCGCACATAGCCGGCGCCCGGCACATGGCGGTGCGCCGGCTTCGACACCCGCAGTCGCAGTACGTCGCAGTCAGTCGCAGTGGTAACACGAGCGAGAGGGTAGTTGCACGCGCCTGCCTTCGAAAGGAAAGACCGCGGTGAGAAGAGAAGGCGATCGAGAGAGCGAGATACGAACGGAAGGGAGTGAGAGGGATCGAAAGAGAGCGAGTGAGGGACGGAGAGAAGCAGAAAGGAAGGCGAACGAGCGAGAAAGGGAAAAGAAGAAAGCGAGCGCGCGCCCCTTGCCTCCGTTTTCAGTGTATCAGTCTCGCGCGACGCCGCTCTCGGGAATCAGTCGGCCGGTGACGAGGCAGTCGAGAACGCGGTACACACGAACGTGTCGTTACGTCGTCCGGTCGGTCGGAGCACGCAGAACGCACGCGAGAGAGGGAGAGAGAGAAGAGGAAAGGAAGCGAGACGGAACGAACGAACGAAAGCCAAACGGTCGAAAACGCAACTACGAGAAAAAAACGCGCCGAGTGAGGAGCGAAGTTGCTACGAACACGGGCTCCCGAACACACGAACCGCACGCGTCGGACAGAGCTAGAGAGGGAGAGAGAGAGAGAGATAGAGAGACGGACAGAGAGAGAGAGGAAGAAAGAAGAGAGAGCAGTGGGGATATCGAGAAGGCCATTTTCGTAGCCGGTGCGCGCACGAATACATACGTACGGGTCTGCTGTGCCTGTTTCCAGCGCTAAAAGGAACGGGCGACTGACTACGCGCGCTATCGGTGCCCGAACGTCCACGAGAAGGGGACCGGGGAGAGAGTAATACGCGCGGCGAGCGGAAGAAGCAGAAGAGAGCCGCGCAGCGATCACACCGACAGCGTAAGCCGACGACATTACCTCCGCGCGGTGCGTCGGCGTTGCACACGAGTCTCCGGTTTTTTTTTACGCGCACGTAATCGCGTCCGTGCGCGCCGCTACGCCACGTTCTCCGTCGTATCCTTACCGTCGTCGCCGACGCCGCGTCCCGTCATCGTCCCTCGAACGTCGTCGTCGAGGCGGCGCGGACCGTTCCGCGAAACGTTCCGCTCGTTTCTTCGATAAAGAGACGACGGACAGGAGAGAGAGAAGGAGAAAGAGAGTTCAACGACAGCGTTGTATACACGGTGAACAATATCAGCGGCGTCTGCAATCTGATCTCAAGCGAACGTCGTCGTCGTCGGTGCTCAAGGAATCCCTCAGAAATCGGTGTCGCGCGACACGACATATTTTAGTTGAGCGAAATGCCGACGAGTTTGTTCAGCGAGATGGACCGCTCCAATTCCGGCGGAAACGCCTCACTCGAGGACCGGCGCGCGTTGCAACTCGCCTTCGAGTTGTCGATGCTCGGTTTCGAGGGTAGCTCCGACTGCCCCGGCACCGGCACCGGCAGCGGCACCGCCAACGGAGTCACCAACGATCCCGACCCGCTGCAAACCGCACCGGCCAACGTCTTCGAGGAGGCGCGCTCTAAGAAGAGCCAGAACATGACTGAGTGCGTGCCGGTCCCCAGCAGCGAGCACGTGGCGGAAATCGTCGGTCGACAGGGTGAGTGTGAAAGTACATCACTAAACATTTTTTCTCGCATGTCTTCTTTTGATCCTTCTTCGTCGTCACCGCCGCCGTGCACCTCGCGTGGTCCACGTTTTCGTTGCGCGCGTCCGCTCGCTTATCGGCCAAGGGCCCTCAATCTTATCTCTCTTTTATGCGATAATATCGACTCGATCTTGCGATATATCGCACGAGATTCCCGCTAGCGTGAAGAATCGCTGCAAAAACTGCGTTACTTCCGCGAGATAAGCGTCGGTTTTGATATATCCATCCCCCCCGTCTCTGTCGATGAAGCTCGCCGCGATAAACGCGCGGCGAGGGAAGGAAAGAGACGGGACGAGCGAGCGGGTGTCTTTGTCGCATCCGGCGACTGGGAAGGAGCAGCAGTCCCCGGCTGCTCTTCCCGAGACGCGTCGCGACGCTCCGAAAGCTCCTTCCTTTTCGTTTCTTTTCCTTCCTTCCTTTCCGCGTCCCTTCCCCCTCCCCGCGCTTCTACACAGCGGTGCCGGAGTCGCGGCGCGTGTATAGCGCGCGCGTCACTGACAGTTCATTGGCACGGCTGTAAACGCGAACGCCACCGCGCGAAACTCGATACCGGCGCGCGATGGAGCAATTAAACTAATTTACGTTCGAATTCTGTTTTACGCGCGATGACGGCGGTAAAGATTGGGGGAGGGGGTAAACCGCTTCGAACCTGTCCTGTCGTAGGTCGCGGTCTTTATGGTCCTTCGTTTCCCCCTCCCCCCCCCTCCCTTTTCCTGTTTTCAACGTCCTTTTATTTGTCTCATTCTCCCTCTCCTACCGCGCTCCGTCGTTCGATATCGCCGTCACTGGAAAAGTGTTTACAATTCGATCGTAACGATACATGCGGAGCGACATGGCTCATAAATAAAGACGCGTGACATCGTGCATTGCATGTTCGGGACCGATGACTCTCTCGGGGTAACCTTGAAGAGAGGGCAAGAGAGAGTTGAGAGAGAGAGAGATGGGGGGGAAGGGGAGACCGGTCACCGTTCTACGAAACGGCTAATTTCTACGATCCGCCGTCTTCTTTTATGTCGCGCCGACGAGAGCGACGGGTCGACCCCGATTGCTTTTTTTTTTGTTTCTTCGTCACATTGTTGCGAGTAAAGTGTCTGAAACAATTGCATCTCGTTGCGTCGGGTATTCATAGCGACGACGACGACGACTTGAAATTCGTCGGTGACTTTTAAATGCGCTCGAGAATAATAAAGGGATACGTAATCGTTTCCGTGCGATAAACCGAGCAACATCGCCCGTCGAGTTTGCTCGTCCCGAAATTTTTGTAGCGCTTTGTATGTGTGTGTATCCCAAGTGCGATTTCGCGTGTGTGCGAGCGAAAGGCGTCTTATCGAGCGGGACGATTTCGAAGCGTCATCGGCCTCGTCATGTTTATCGCCCGTGTTTACAATGTGAGTAGTCGAGGTCAGGATATAAGAATATAGTCCATCTATCGAGGAAAAGCCAGGTATTTCGTACATGCGGGTGAACATGTGTGTCCCTCCTCGTCCTCTCGGCGCGTGTGCGAGCGATAAAAATCTCACCGTCGATCGTGCGTTTCCGGAGCCGTTCGGAGCCGCCGAGGCGGACCCCGTTGTCGTACAAACGATGCGGCATGCCGTCGCCGTAGTTGGCGGCTAGTCCCGCAAAATGTTTTGGAATTGAAACGCGTGTGGCCTTGCCATTTAAATCTCAACGTCTGTCGGCGACCGTGCGCCGCTGAATGATCGTTCGGCTCCAATCGCGACGATCAATACCGTTCTCGGGGCTGGCGTCCCCGAGTTCATACATGTATATGTACATACATACGCGGTTACATCGCACATCCATGCGCGCCTGTGAGCCTCTCGCGTAAACGGGCGGATCGATTCGCGCGAGATCGTCCGGAGTATCGATCGTCGAATTCGCGAGCCGTAATCGTAGAACACACGTACGTAACGTATCCGCTCGCGCGAGAGAAAGAGAGAGAGAGAGAGAGGGTGAGAGGGAGGAAGGAAGCCGTACCCGGGCTCTCTGCGGTCGACACGCCCGCAGCTAACACTGACCGCTCGATACGACATTAGACTCTCAACAGTTAGAACGATGTCACAAGCCGCGGTAACCGCGCTCGCGTTTGAAATTCCGAGCCTCGCCTCGGAGCGGCGGCCGTGTGTACGTGCTCATTCTCCTTCTTCCGTCCGGCTTTCGCGTGTCCTTTTTCAATCGAGAGAGTCGCGAGAGACCGCCGTGAGAACAGCCGGCCGAAGCCGTGGTTCACCTTGAAAACTTTTCAAGTTTCCGGAATATCAAATTAATTGAAACATTCGTCGTACCCCCCTCTCTCTTTTTCTCTCCGAAGAAGAAGGAGGCCTCCAAGTTGCCGCGCGTGCGGAAACGAAATGTCGATCGGCTCGCTTTCATTACGTGAACGCGCCCGCCGCCGACCATTGATCGCTTCTCTCGTGAATGAGAGGGAAAGAGAGAGACACGCACACATCACCGAGATACCATTGTACGACTCGAGTTATCGCGCTTTTTTCTCTCCTCTTTATTTTTTCCTTTTTTTGACGAACACGTGCGATAAGAAGCACTTCCTGGCGCCGAGAAGACGTGAACTTCCTCCTCGAAAACCCTACAATCCACGGCCCGAGAGATGCGGGGGAGAGGGTATCGCGGTGCATATCCGGGACCCGGTTTCTCTATTACGTCGCATTGTGTCTAGGTGGATAGGGACACGATTTTTCGACTCCGTCCCGGCCCGCTTCGAAACCAGTTTGACATACCTGGCATGAATCACTGCCGTAACGCGGCGCGAGTTCTTTCGTCGGCCGCGTGGCCGGTTGGCCTGCTGCCGTCGTCCTCGTCGCCGCCGACTTCTCTAATCCCGACGTTTCGTCGTCGATACGTCGTGATTCTCTGTGGAACATAATCATATCGATTCAATGACGACGTCTAATGAGTTTGATACGCCGTTTCATTATGAGGATGTGGCTATTTGTTGAACGTTTTCGTCCGCCGTACCTCTGTCCCTCTCTTTTCTTCCTCTTTCTCCACGCTCTCGCATTATCTCTCTTTCCCTCTTTCTTCCCCCTCACGTTCATGCCGTTGTCGATCTGTCTCTGCGTCTCTCTCTCTCTCTCCTCCCCCGACCGTCGATTACACTATACGCCTCTCTTTCTCGCTCGTGCGCGCTCTCCCGAACCGGAAGTTGTAATGAGTGCCTCTGTCGCCAGACCCGTCGCCTCGCGTCGCATCGTGGCCAACGATGACGTTACTTTGGAAATATCACGGCCGGTTATCCAGGTCGTTAGCTTGTGCACCGCGTGACTCCGAGAGGGAATGCTCGCGAGGGGAATGAAAAAAAAAAACCAAGAATATGTAATTGCAGCTTCCAGGGATTGTGAGAACGCAAGGAGTGACCGTGCGCTATCCTCGACGTAGAATTTTCTATGATTATTTCTCCCTCTTTAATCCCGGCCGCTGCTTGCTACCTGTCTTGTTCGTCGAGACTCTCGCGATTCCCTCGTCTCTTTGCGCCCGGTCAGAACGAGTTTCGCGATTACCCAGATTTGAGCGAATTATGTTTTATGTATCTCTCTTTGACTCGCCTCTGACTGGCTCGTTACGATCATTTTCTCTCTTGCACAATCTGTCTTTACCTCGAGAACTTCGGAGATTTTTTTCTTCGTGCATCGTAATTCCTCTTACTCGTGAATTTTCACTCTCTGCTCCGCCCATTATACTTGTCGCACCGGTCTACGCGATTTCTACACCTGATGTGTGTCCTGTAATAATGTAAGCTCGCTTCCCGCGACGCGCTGAGTCTTGGACTGTGCGTTACAAAGAGACGTTTGTAGATCGTAAAACTCGCCGGCGGCCGATAGAGGTGCCGAAAAATATCCGCGCGCACGCGATACGCCGCTCGTGTACACGCGCACGGTCGTGCCTTTCTCAAAGTCGTAGAAATTCAAATATACGACGAGATAAGGAGGAAAGAACGAGAAACGCGCGGTATTGTACGCGAGCTGAGCACGTGTTGCCACGCGTCTCGCGGTCTCCTCGCGCGACGACGACACCACCACCATCGTCACATTTTCTACGGAGGGATTTTCTACGGAGCAATGGAAGATCTGTGTCGTCGATGAAATCGTGTTAATGGGAATCCACGTCGTCGTTAACGCGTCCTCGTGAAAAGTAGGCGGGAAGAAGAAGAGACGAGCAACAACAGTAGGTGGACGGAAAGAGGTAGCAGGAGATTGGGAGAGAATCCCTCGTACGGTTTTTACGACTCGTGCGTCTCGTGGACGACGCGCGCGCGCTAGAATCTGGACGAAGCGGCGGGCGATACGATTTTATCACGCGGACTTCACCGCCGGTGACCACGCGCGTATCTCCTAGGATTTACCTTTCCCGTGGAGGTAACACAATCTTATTGGAAAGAGAACCGTGTATAATCTTTCTCGCACTCGCACACACTGCTTGTCGGGTGGCACGATTACACGGCGCTTGTGAATGGTCTTAATCGTCGTAATATTTTGCCGCGTACTACACCACCGTGCATGCGATGTGCGTCGAGGGCGTGGTGCGTATGCGCGCACCGTCGTGAATACTGTCGTCGTACGTGTCTTTCGCTGCACGTGGTAGCCACCATGGGCCCGAATAGAGCGAGACGAGATTTAATAATAATATTTAGTACGCTCGCGTACTAGTATCAGGAGTCTTTCGGGCTACCTGGCATTTGGTCGACAGATGTATAGTCGCCGACCTCGGGCTTCCTCTCACGCGCCGTCACCGTCGCCGCCACCACCTCCTGGCCGCCCTCGGTTTTCTATCTGCTACTATGTGGACGTTGATTACCGAGTGAAAAGGGGACTTTCTTGTATTTTCTAAATAATCGCGCGACTAATGGCCGAGAATGCGGGGCTCGTTTGCATTAATAATGAATGAGGAGCGCGCACCGCGATTTCTTCGATACTCCGCTTTTTTCCTTTTCTTTT